AAATCAATGCAATGGACAAAACAGAAGGTCCTTTCTGACACATTCATGTTCTCTGGTGGAGCCTCTACATCAGAACAGTACCGATAAGACGGAGTTACAAACTTCAACAGATGAGATGCATCTGTTGCTGCAGGTTCTTCACCAGCCTTTCTAAATCTGAACTGTTGAAAATGTCATCCTGCGTTAGGACCAGCAGGTGTCACTGTCGCTCTTTTAGTACAATACACCAACACTACCAGTGTTTATGGCAGTGAGTTTTACAAGTTTTATCAGGTTTTTAAGTGTATTCCTCCTTATTTAAGTTTAGTTAAAACTGGGCTTCACTTCGCTCTGTTGGCTGATTATTGGAGATGTGTCAGTAATTTTACAGAGATTTGTTCAACATGGTCGAATTATTACTTTTGTTTTAAAAAAATCCTCTAATCATAAATATAGATGTTGGTTTTGTAGCAAATTCCTTGAAGACCTAAAGATTTTATTAGCTTAGAACAACTTGATTTCTAAGCATAAACCTTATAGATCAGTAGAGGAAATGATTTTCATCCATCGGGTGTTTGAACATCTGCAGGTTTTGGTTTCCTACCTCCCTATGCCCGTCAACGTGACGTCTTCCACGTGAAAATAGGAGAGCGGGGCTCCATTCATCACCATCAGGAAGTCGACAAGCGAGGCATCGGTCACAGAAAAGTTACGGAAAGAAAGAGATCTGAAGCACAACAACAAGAAAAATCAATGAGAGCATGTTTTACTGCAGGAACAATTTGTAATGATAATCCAACCTGATCCTCTTTTTGGCTGACTCTCTGAAGGACTGGACAGACTGAATCCCAGTCACATCGATGTCCTGCAGAACGATCGGAGTCTCAGGGTACGACACATCTGCAAGCACAGCTGCAGCCAAGGTCACGTTGGTGAGAAACGGACCATGGAGGCTTAAGGTAACACGACCCAGAGGCCAAATGTCTCCTAAAGTGCCAGAGTCATAACTGCAGAGAACGGAAAAAAGAAAGGAAAAGCCAAATATTAACTGGGAGTTAGAGGTCACTGCATCATGTGGGACGAATGTGGGAACACCTGGCCAGGTTGTTCGCGTGGACAGTGAGGTCCTCCAGCTCTGTGACTCCAAACAAATCTGTTCTCTGTAGTTCCTTCAGGTCTGGACCTCCAAACTTCAGCCGCCTCAGTCTGACGAGTCCAAAGAACATCGAAGGGGAACCAAGACGGCTGGAGGAGACCAGACAAGTTTCAGCTCCGTTTATGATACATCTAGTATGATTTCCAACTGAATCTAAAGACATGCTTTAGGTGAGGAACAATCTGTGCATGAATAAATCCGGAGGCATTCAAACATGTAAAAACTAATCCATATTAAACAAACAAGGCTTTTCTCTTGTCCCACCCCAAATTAAATATGGGAACAACGTGTCATGATTGGACAGTGGAGGACATCGTCCCAGTCCTTCCACTGAGAGAATAAACTTTAAAATATTTCTGTTAGTTTATAAATCACTGGACGGTTTAGCACCACAATACATTAAAGATCTGCTGCTGTTGTATCAACCCTCCAGTCTTCTGGTTCTGTTCTGCTCAGCGTCCTCAGAACCAGAACCAGACATGGAGGCCATGCTTCTCTAGTCTGGAGCAAACCTCCAGAAAACTGCAAAACTACTCAAACTCTAAGTTTCTTTAAATCAAGGCTAAAAACTCATTTCTGGAGTTACGTTTGCGGGGCGCTGAGCTCCTTACCTGTACGGATTGTTGAGCAGGTTCAGACGCTCCAGAATCGTCACATTTTTGAGCCAGTTGGGGTTGAGAAACGTCAGCTGGTTGTCAGACAGGTCCAGTTCCTCCAGACTCCACAGAGAGTCGAACGCTGACGGATGGATCTCAGCTAACCGGTTACCTGCAGGCAGAGGAGGGCAGAGTACCAGGAAACTGTCCTCAGGTAAGAGTAACACTACTTTCACTTATTCAAGTCAAAGTCAAAGGTAGCTGTCCAAAATTACTCAAGTAATAGAAAAACAATACAGAAATGAGTTGGTAGGAAGTCTCCTCAAGCACTGAGGAACTGAACAAGTAAAAGCAAAAAGTACAGACAGTAAAAATACTCCGTTACTCAAGGAAATGAATGTGAATAGTTATTACCAAATGTTTCCTGCAGGACAGAAATGTCTGAATTTCACTGGGATGCAGCAAAACAGTGGTTACCATGGAGATCCAGAGCCCTCAGCCGGGAGTGTCCCGTCAGGTCCGTTTGGGTCACCATGGTGATGTTGTTGAAGGACAGGTCCAGGCTCAGCGCCTGGTCTGGTATCATGGGAACGCTGGTGAATCCGCTGTAGGAGCAGTTGCAGCAGAGATGGAGGTCGCAGCGCCTGCAGGTCGGCCTCCCGTCGCCGCCGTTGACCTTCTGACCCCGGATCAGAGGCACCCACAGGAGGAGCAGGACCAGGGAGCCCGGAGTCCGGCGTCTCATGCTGCAGAGTGGAAGAGCGGATCTGTTGAGCGAGACGCAGAAGTGAAACACACGTTGGGGAAGTGATTTGTTAAAACAGGAAAAGACTGTTGTTTTTTTTTATTTTATTATCTCACGAAGGCTTCATGCATCTGTCCAGAAGAAACCGCAAATATCTGAACCAGGTTTCACTTGGGCTGCTTCCCTGACACTCAGCTCAGGGTTAACATGAGACATTTTCAGTGAAACAGTATATTTACCACATAACTTCAATATCTGAAAAAGCCTTCAATAAAATATTAGAAACTCAAAATGACCTAAAATTCAGTAATTAAACTATAGAAAATTGATCAGATTTAAGCTTCACAAAACGATGCTTTCTCAATGATCAGCTGAGGAAGATGTTTCTCTGGTTCCAGTTTTCTGATTCTGTTCACATGCAGATTTTCTTCAGCTATAAAAGAAATAATTACAAATATTTCTGAATATTATAACAAAAAGCAAAGATGTGATTCAAAAACTAAATTGTAATAATAAAAGAAATTTCCCATGAATGTTTGCATTAACACTCAGGTGATATGAACTCCTCTGTTCTGACCTTTCACACACTTTCAGCTACTTCCACCGATGTGAGTTTCTGCTGATCCTCTAATAGTTTTTTTCTCCATGTATGATTCTTGTTCCAGTTTATTTTCTCTCATTTGATCTGCTCAGCATCAGCATTGATTCTTTTTTGAATCAAATGTGCTCCAGATATGACCCACAGCTGATCTTGGACCAAAGTGAAGCTTTTGCCACTGCAGGTTCTGGTGTTTAAAGCAGATAAACCTAAAAGTTTTCATGCTTTGAACCCTTTACAATCTCTGCCAATATTTCTGCCATACTTATTTTAATCTATAAAATCCAAAATTATGCACAGAAGTTTTCATTTAAACTCCAAAGAAAATCAACAAACTTCAAATAAAAAAAATCTTCATAAAAAGGAACTAAAGCAAACTAAACATTTACTAAAAACAAGGGCAGTTTAGTCGTGAAGTAACCGGTTCATGTTTGATGCTTTACTGACTTTCACCTGGGTCAGAAATCAATCCGCTGATTTTTAATCTCTTACCACATTTAATAGCTTCTCTTTTCTTTTGTTCTCTATTTGAAACAGCTGAATGATCTCAGATGCAATCACAAAGTGGGAAGCGCTGCTGCTGAGATCCAAAGTTTTGATACATGACGAGAACACGCCTTACCTCGTTTGCTCCTGAGCAGCGTCTTCTGAAGGAGCAAATATTAAAAATGTCCAAAAATGAAAGTGACAAAATTATGTTTTCAACAAGAGGAAGTTAAACTCTTGACTGACATCTGGAAGCAAGACTAAAAAGGGGTAGTAAGCAGTTAATTTGTGGAGGAAACATCCTCCAGTGTAAGCAAACGTAAAACAAGTCGGACCAAATCACTTCAAAATACAAAAAAAAACCTATTTTTCTAAAATTAAGTGTGAAAGCAAAGTAAAGCAGCCAAAGGTCGTAAACTGTGTGGGTTCCTGTAACATCATATGTAAATGTCAAGAGGCACTGGACCATAACCCTAATGTCTGCTTTTATAGCCCAACTGACAGGATTATTACTTTTTTTTTCAAGCTTATAAAGTCAAGATTATTTATTCATATCCTGCTTCTCAGCAAAAGAGAGAAGTGGAATATTCTCCCATTTCAAAATGCTTTACATGGTAAAAATATAAAACAGTGAACAAACAACAACAAAAGACAAACAACAGTGGCAAAATGAGGAGAAGTGATGGAAAGTTGTAATCCAGATCAGAATTAATTAATACTCCAATTATTATTTCAAAGTGAACTCTAATCAAATAGGTTTAAAGTAAGTCACAGTTTCAGCTGTTGCAGATTCCAGGAAGTTTGTTCCAGATCAGTGGAGCCTAGAAACTGAATGTTTTTGTAATTGACTTTATGTATCTTTGAATGTTCAGAGCAGATTCTCAGTTTTAGTTTGAAAGTTCAAGTTGAAACAATTTCTCTTTTCCACAACATCTCTCACTTCATTCTAAATTTGATCAGTTCTGCTTCTTGTTCTAGTTCCTGCAAAAGCTATTTATTATTAATGACATTGAAATCTGTCGAGATGCATCAGTAAGTTTGTGTTCTCACAATGACAATAACGGGGCTGTTTTGGATCAGATTCAAACGACTTTAGAGATTTTATTCCACATTTCTACGAAGTCTGGGAGAAAAGATCCATGTAACCCAGATTTGAACAATACAGAGGAAGAAGATAAAAATGTAAACAGATAGTATCTGAAAACAGAAACCTACAATGTGAAAAGAAGTGAGATTTTCTGGGAAGAAACCAAACAATTGTATGAAAGTGATATTAATAAAAACACAAACCCAGACTTTCTGGCAATGATAACTTGAGTCCTGAAAGGGTCTTTCATTAATGTACTGGTCAATAATAGAACAAAGACATGGGAGCAGGTGAGGTTTATTGTTATTGTGAAATTAGAGTCTGGAGCTTGTGTCGAGTTCATGGAACAGAAACAAGAATCTGCAGAATAAAAGTCAGGGGAGCAGCAGAGACTCCAACATTTTGCCTCGTCCAGAACAAAGTCAGTTCACATTGGGGCTTTTCAATTTACAATCAAATAAATTTGAATTTTGTTTTGAATATGTGCTTTAATTAGGAATCTCTTTGTTGTAAAAGTAACTAATTTGTATTTTTTGTTCTGCAGATTCCTTTTTCCAGCCTGTTCCACCATCACCACCATGACCTTTCTTGGTGTTGTTCTCACGTTTTGTGGCGTATTGACGCTGACCCGAGCCGGGCCGATTAACTCAACCCTCACCAAGAGCGTGGGGGGTTTCTGCGACCAGAAGCACCTGCAATGCACGATCTTCCCCGGGATGTTCTGCCCTCAGTGCGACGCCAACGGGAACTTCCTGCCCCAGCAGTGCTCCGGTTCGACCGGATACTGCTGGTGCGTGGATATAATCACCGGAGAGGAGATCCCCAACACCAAGACCGCGCCTGGAGTCAGGCCCATTAACTGCGGTGAGTGGTTTTGTCTGAACTGACAGAATATAAGAGCCATGACGTTTCCTGGTAGGTGAATATGTTTTTTTATCCAGCCATATTGCAGACACCAGTGTTTATTTTACTGGTACATATTTTATTAAAAGTTAATATTTTTCTATGTAAAAATCTTTTACATATACATCAACACCTATGGCTAACAGGCAAGTGCTCTTAATAATCATAAATTATGATCTTTTCCAGCCGTGACCTCTGATTGCAATATGCCTTTTAAAACAAAGCATAATACAAAGATTCTGTTGATTCTTTGAGTTCTTTTATGTCTGTATCATCTGTTTTTAATGTTTGTTTTTATTTCTCTAGATTTAAAAAAGTACACTAAATTTGAGACTAAAATGAGTTAAAAGTGAAATAAAAAAAGGACTTTTCAGCTCATATGATGAAATGTGTGTCTGTGTTTTGCAGCACAGAATTTGCGCTGCCCATATGGATGGACCAGATTCGGTCGTCGGTGTTTCCTCTTTATCGACACCCCAAAGACATGGCCTGAAGCTGAGGTGGGGTAAATTAAGCATCTTTGAGCTGTTTATATGTGGTAAAAATCAGATATTTGGAAACTGTCATGTGTTTTTCTGTACAGTTTTACTGTCAGTTCGAAGAAGCAAACCTGGCGTCAGTCCACAGTTACGAAGAGAATCGCTTCATCCAAACTTTCACCAGAGGAGACACACACAGCTTCCCAGAAACCTGGATTGGAGGAACTGATGCTATACATGTATGGAAATCTTTAAAACATCATTTACCACTGAGAAATTCTCTTTCAAAGATAAACCGAGTCATATTTAAAGCTTTTGTATGATTTCTTTCTAACATAAAAACAATTATTTTCCCGATAAAGTCAGACCAAAATTTGTTTGGTAACTCAATCAAATGTAATTATCCTTCTTCTACAAAGCTGCTTGAACATGTTTAAGCAGTTTGACACCAAATGATGTGCAGTATAGTTACGTACAGTGGTTTGTATGAGTTCATGTAATTTTGTTCCAACAGCTTGATTTCTGGATGTGGTCCGACGGCTCCAAGTTCGACTATGAGAACTGGTACAATGACGACCACAACGAGACGGAAGAGCGCTGCCTGAAGATGAATTATCACTGTAATGTCTAACACACATACACACACAGAAGTTTGTATTTCTACCCATGTTAGAACTTTTTATTGACTTCCATTCAATTTAGTAAATATATTTATACCTAAATGTAGTTCCTAACCATGACATCTGTAATAAAAATGAAGGTCTGCCACGGAATAACTTGAGTTTTGTTACCATAATTACCCATCTAGTACATACACCAGAAAGGGCCTTGAATCTGCAATAAACAAGAACTCACACACACACACACACACACACACGCACACACACACACACACACACACACACGCACACACACCCCTATATATATATATGAAAACATGTACACACAGAAACACATAACATTATGTCTTTCTATCCTCACAAAGACTCATTTTTCATTCATTACTATATGAAGCTGTTTTTCAGTTTTTCCACAGAACTGCAACAAAAATAATGTGTAGAAAATAAGATACAATGTTTCTACAACTTATAAATTGATACATTAGTATTTAAATACTTGTAGTTTGGAGACAGGAATTACCTTATAATACTGGTTGATTTTGTATTCAGTGAAGTTAATGATCAACATCTCTGTTTGTTTCCTGACTGCTTGTTTTTTCAGATACCCTGAAGTGGTCTGCTGCTCCCTGCGACCACTATCTCCCTTTTGTTTGTTCCAAGGACAACTGAACGCATCTTCAGAAATTAAACCTGAGCAAAAACAAACCCGACCCGTGTCACTAACTGCGGTTCGAGAAGCACAGAAGCTGCCATTTTTACCAAACACATGCAATTTTTGTTTGTTGTATAAGAAATAAAAGCAAAGAAATAAAACCAATAAAATTAAATAAAGCAATAAAACCTGTTGTAGTGTGAATCAAGTTAGACAGTGTTTCACAGAGAATAATTAAAGGTCCAAAAATATAAATTTTCCATTAAGAGTTGGCGCACCTTTTTTACCTGACCCTTCTACTTTCCCACTGTTCAAAACATAAATGAAGGTCCCAAATGTTGCAATAGCTTTACAAGGCCAGTATGTGGCAGTATAAAATCCCCACTGAAAGACATAAACAGAAAAGAAAGCTAGACAAAGATGCTAATTGTAAAAGGTAATGGCAATATCTGCATGAAAACCTAAACAAAAACCTCAGGGTGATGCAGACTTACTGGTATCTTTGCAAATATGTGACATAAAGTGTTCACTGAACATTATCTGCGTTTTCATGAACATTTTGGGGCAGACAAAAAGTGAGGACTTGGTTGCTCTGGGTGGGCAATAAATTATAACTTCAAGGGGAACATTTTCAATACTTTTGATGATAAATTACTGATATTTTATACAAATTATCCAAAGATGTCCACTCTTCTGAATTTATTTGTTACATTTCACAGCTGTTGAGCTGCAAACACAAAATTCTAATACTGGTTTCAGCCGCATTTAGTCAGTAAAATAAAACAAAAATTGACCCATTTTACTTCAGCTACTGTCCTCTTTATGTGGATTAAAGAAAGCAAAATGTTTCCTCGTTAAGTGGCTGAAATGCTTGTTAGTGCAGGTTTGTGGATGTTTGTGTGGGTTGTTGTTTAGTCATTCGATACTTTTACCCTTTTGGACTCAAACAGCAGTGACTCTGAATGAGAACTTCCAGGCAGTAACATGCTGTGTTTAACTGAATCATCACTGAGATCATAATGAAGTCGATCAATAATACCAATTCAGAAAAACAAACACAAATATTACATTATGGCACAGAAAGGATGAAAATCAATGTTTAGATGTCATGCAAGACAGAGTGTAACTGTAAATTTGTTTTCGTCGGCTTTATTTATAAATGCTTCAGTGACTGTGAGTAATAGTTATAAAACTATGCAAAATACCCCAGAGTTCATCATTTTATCCAAACAAAGTCCAATTTCTGGACTCAAAACCATTAAAATGGGTTTGTTTTTCTGATCCATTTAGAAACTGATGGTGATATTTATAAAATTTAGAGATTATCTGCTGCAACAATTATCACATTTCAGTAATAAAATGTTTTCCAGTGAAAATTAAAAAATCTGAGTCTTTTCTGTCTACCTTTTGCTCTTTTTTGCACATATTTTGTGATATTTGATTTTTAAAACATGATTTAGCGACATATAAGTGTTGAGGCTTTAAAGTGCTGTGATTATGAAACCTAAAATCTTTCAGTTTTCAGTGGGAAATAACATGTTGGACTATTAAGGAAATAATTTTGTTGCAGATCTAAAATTACATCCGATCTGAAATAAAAAGCATGTTTCATTTATTTCTGTTTACTTCAAAAATTTGAAAGTGTTTTGATGTTACATGAGTCATCAGACTGACAGTAAACCACATCATTACCTCCTTCAATCCATCCGTTAAACAAATTGTGACTCCTCTTTCCTTCTGCCCTTTTGTTCCTTGGCTGATTTCAGAGAGCTGAGTCGGTTTGGTTGGACCGACCTCAGCAGACGGTTACTGATCAACTGCAGCGGATCAATAAAACCTGGGGGAGGCAGGTGGCGCAGAAGCTCAGAGGATAAAAACCTCAATAGCAGAGACCAGAGGGTCAGAAGAAGGAGGCAGAGAGAGGAAAAGTCACAGAGTTGATGATGAAGACGTTACTGGTTCTATACCTGTGCCTCTATGTCACCTGGGCTCAGGACGTCTTAGAATACGACGACTACGACACGGTGAGTCAAATCAGCCAGAGAAAAATAAATACAAGTTGTCTCTGCTTATCAGAGACAATCTAAATTTTATTTTGTTCTGATTATTATTGGTAGAAAAGATAATGCATTTTATGGTATTTATTTTGTTCCTAAAAGATTAGTGTTTATTAATTATTGTTTCAATTAAAATGTCAACAATGGGTTTTTATTAACGTGATTCATGATGTCTGATAATCAATCCAGCAAGCAAAAAATATGTCATTAAATCATTTGAAGAGACTAAAAACAACTAAATTATTGGTACTTAAAAAAATGTAATTTTAAAATATAATTAATATTCATCCATCCATTTTCTATACATCGTTGTGCTGCTGCCCATTTCCAGTGAACTGGACCGGTCGCCAGTTTGTCCCAGCGCAAAATTATTGTGATGCAAGTCATATTAAAATAAAATCCTGGTAGATGTATCAGATATAATTTATGGATTCATTAGGTAATTTTTTTTCATCTGTTTTAGGGAATAAAACTTTTAGCAGAATCATTAAATTAAAAAATTCCAGATTTTTAAAAAGATTGTGATTCAAAAAGTTATTTAAAATTTGTGATGGTACAAAACATTTTTTTACGCATTTATTAAAATTTTATTTGATCATATTAAATCATGTAAATTAAAAAGCTATACAATGTAGAAAATTAAAATGAGAAAAATTCAGAATTTTTGCAAATATTTGATAAAACCAATAGATGTAAACTTTACGGTTGAATTTCAGCTTACTGACGTATAATTTTTTAAAACTTTAATAAATAGCTAATTCCTTTTACATCATTTTGTCAAACTGCTGAGTTAATCAGTTTTTCTTCACAAAAATTTGTTTTACATCAGCTTTTGATGCAATCAAAATATGCATTTATGTTTTGTCTTATTAATCTTCGTAAACTACGTCAGCACACAGAAAATAAACACCAAAAAAGCAGAAGAATTCCTAACAATTATTTGTAATGTTTCTTCACAGGACGCCAAGGCAAAGAATGCCACAGTATGTAAATCCATTTCTCTGGAGGAATATGTTACATGATGAGAACTTTGTCATGTTTACCTTAACTTTGATATTAACGCTGTTCTCTGTGCAGAGTGGAGGATTAGCCGTTGATGCTCGAGGTCATCGGCCGGTCAGCGGACGCAGAGACTCTTACAGCCCAAACCGATATTCCCCGCCACCAAACAGCTCAGGAAACAGGTAAGCCCCGCCCACAGCCTCACCTGACTAAAACACTCCAACACCTGGCGTCAGGATGAACGGAGCGAATCGTACATTATCCATACTCATATTACTGGAGACCCACATTAAGGAATCAAGCTAGGAAACTGATAAAATCCAGGAAATGCTGAGAAAATGATTAAATAGTTTAACTAAAAGTTGCATTTAAATTTAGGGCATTATATTCCTATCCTGCTCTTACCCAAAGTCCTGTTGTTCGCATAGGAGGAAATAGAATAAAACGTTTCTGTAGTTCTTCTGTTTTTAGAAAAGAAAATCTACAACAGTTTCTTTTAAAAGAAGCTTAATGTTTTTTTTTTTTTCAAAATGAAAAATAAATATACTTTATATTTTTAATTCATTTTCTTAACTTTCAAAATTAAACACCATTTACTACATAATTATCTTTATTTTACAACTCCACAAAAACTGTTATCTGCATATTTCATAAAACTAAATGCAACAGAAATAAACTGAAATAAGTTTAATAACACAATAGCTTGTTAATAGATGTTTAAAATGGATTTTACAATGAGAAAAAAGGCAAATGAACCAGTTTCTGGTCTATTTTTAGCCCAAAAGGTTATTTATTTGCTGATATTCCCATTCTAGTCAAAAACCTTTAAATGTCAGTCTTGCTTGGCCCATTTAATGTAAGTTGTCCAAATTCGGACTCCAAAAACAAAGAGTCAGAATGAAAACTTGCCTTGCTGTTGAGTTTCCAGTCGGTTGATGGTTTTCCGGTGGTTTTCTGTTCAGGTACCGCGGTCGGCCCACTCCAGCTCCCGTCGGCCGTCTGGCGCAGGAGAAGGAGGTGCAGCCTGATGCGGGAGGATGCACGCATGCCTCAGAGGCGATGGTAGGAAAACATCTTCAGCATTCATGAAACAAGACTGAACCAAGTTTAACAGGATTTTACTCATCAATCCGTAGATTTGACTTTATTTAGTTTGAGTCTCTGAGAAATCAGCAAAGAAGGATTTCAGAAAATTCTTTGGTAAATGTTAACAGTTTAGAAAACAAAGAGGATTTTGCTTCATCAGTGTTTCGTTCTCCATCAGGGTGCTTTGTGTCCGACTGGCTGCGAACTGAAAAACGCTCTGCTGAAGCAGGAGAGGAACGTCAAAACGGTAAACTTCACTCGTTTTCTTCAAGTTATTCAAGTGGAAAGTTTTTTTTAGAAGATCATCTCTGAAGATGCTTCAAGAATAAAACCGTTGCGCTGCAGATGTTAATTTCTCATTTCTTGATCTTCTTCCTGTCAGGTTATTGTTGAACTCAAGCCTCAGATTGAGGAATTGTCCCGCTCGTCAAACAATGTCTACAACTACGTGAATGGCATCTCCAACTCCCTGAGGGAGAGACAGCGAGTCTTCAGCAGTAAGATGCACAATACGATGCTACTTTAAGTCAAACCGTTGTTTTATTTAAAGGCATCCCTGCTTGTTTATTTTATCACTAGCTGTCTGCATGTTTGGTGTGTGGATATTTATTTTGGACAACAAATTTCCCTTTAGAAATGTGTTTTTTTTTTATAGAAATCTCGGTTGCAGTCTTTATAGACGATCACTTCTCATGTTTCCATTCCTGATGTTTCCAGCCAACAACCAGGTGGTGAGTCAGTACACCGACCAAGTGGAGGAACAACACGCCTACATCAAGGAGACCATCGACACGGTCTTCCCCTCCAACATCAGAGTCCTGCAGGTCATCTAGTTTTATGAGTTGTTTTATATGAAGAACCAGCATGACAGACAAATAAAGAATGTTGTTGTGGTTACAGGGGGTGTTAGACAAGATCAGGCTGAAGATCCAGAAGCTTGAAAAAGCGATCCTGGCCCAGAATGAGCAGTGCAGGGATCCGTGCGTCACCAGGTGTCCGATCCCGGTGGTTTCTGGTGAGTGAGGACGGAAAAATGTTTTTCACAAAGAGAAAAACAATGGGGGACAGAATTACCTCTGGTTTTCATTGATTACCTCCCTTCGTTGCGATCCAGGTAAGGAGTGTGAGGACATTTACCGGCGTGGAGGACGAGACTCCCAGATGTATCTGATCCAGCCGGATCCATTGCTCCCACCGTACAAGGTCTTCTGTGATCAGACCACCCAGAATGGAGGTCAGAGTGCAACTCATTCAGCAAGTTCAGAGTGTTTTCAGTTAAACTCACAGTACTTTTCAAAATGTCTCCTTCCAGGATGGGTCCTCATCCAGAACAGGCTCGATGGCAGCGTTGACTTTGGCCGCCGATGGGACGAATATCGCCGTGGTTTTGGAAACATCGCTTTTGAATCCTCCAAGCGTTTCTGCGAGACTCCTGGTAAGACTTTAAACAACTGAAAGAACTGAATCCCAACCATGAAGCTGAATGTCACACTGTCCTGTGTCGTCATGTGACAGGCGAGCACTGGCTGGGAAATGACCGCATCAGCCATCTGACCAAGATGGGCCCCACTGAGGTTCTCATCGAGATGCAGGACTGGACAGGAGCCAAGGTCAGTCTTTTCATTAATGTGGTGATTTTTATTCTAATAATCTAAAGTATAAATCGTCCTTCATCTTTGAATTGTGAAAACTTCAACTGAATCTAAAGCTTCCCGTTCCTTTTGCTATAAGGTCTACGCCCAGTACCAGCAGTTCACCATCCAGACTGAGACTTCCAACTATGTGATGGCCGTCAATGGTTATTCTGGTAACGCTGGGAACTGCTTCCTGGAAGGAGCTCTGGAGCTGTACGGAGAAAACCGCACCATGACCATTCATAACGGCATGATGTTCAGCACCCACGACAGAGACAACGACAACTGGTAGGCAACCAAGCGAACGCTGAGCCTCACGGCTGTTGCTTCAACTATTCCTGTTGGTCATCATTTCCTGTCCATGTCTGCTGCTTCCAGGACGCCGGGCGATCCCTCCAAGCAGTGCGCCAGGGAGGACGGCGGTGGCTGGTGGTACAACCGCTGCCACTCGGCCAATCCAAATGGGCGATACTACATGGGCGGAGCCTACACGTCAAGGATGGCAAAGCACGGCACAGACGACGGTGTGGTGTGGATGAACTGGAAGGGCAGCTGGTACTCACTGAAGGCCATCAGCATGAAGATCAGGCCTTTCTTTGCCTCCAGATGATCATGCAACAAGGACGGGCACGTGCAACACAAACAGGAAACTGCCAAAATAAAAGACCAACAAAAGAGTTTTCATCAACGGATCAAAGTCCTCAGTAGATTTGGAAGAAAACCTGTTTGTCAATAAACACAAACATATTTATACACAACTAGGTTTGAGTTTTAAAAATGATGCAAAAGCAACAAAAAAAGTTTTATTCTTATATTATAAAAATATTTTCAAAAGGTTATATTCTTGAAAAGAGGAGAAATCCGATTTGTTGTGGAAACGTATGCTGTGACTGATCTTGTTGTGCGTGATGACGTCGTTTGCATTAAAGGAACAGTCCGTAAAACTGTCCTGCGCTACTCAATAAACACATTGAGGAACCTATCAGTATGTTTTATTAATCCCATTCATTTCCAGGTAACATGAAGAAACATTCTGATTAAACATGTAGAAGAATAAATATGTTCTATCTCAAAATGTCAGTCTACTGAAAGAAAAGCAGCTAAACATCCATCATGCATGTAAATAACTAAACACAAAACAGGAAATACAGACAAAAACTTGCTGAAGTCATCAGGTAATAAGAGGATCCACTAATTAGACCCACTCAACTTTAACATATTGATATCAACAGTGTTAATTTTAACATGTAGAATTAATGTCTGTTTATTACAGTTTTACATTATTGAGGTTGCAAAACGCTTTCTTTGCTCTGATTGGTCAGCTCTGCTGGTCCAATCAGGCTCCAAATTCACTTTTTGCTTCAGTTCACCTTAAACTTCATAATATATTCAAGTTCACCTCATCACTATATCACCACCACAGTCCAACCAGAAGCAACGTCGTTCTTAATCTGTTGCTTTGGGACAAATTTTATTAGCAGCTGCACAAAGAACAAAGTTAATAAAATAAATGAATTTATCTTTAAATGCCAGAGATGTTAGCAAAGAGTTATAAATTATTTACAAAGACAGAAATGGCTTTTCTTTAGGTAATAAAAGTTAATTGTATAAGACAGAACACATGACTGTAATAAAACAATGTTACAATAAATAATATTAATAATCAAGGAAATGATTTAAATATTTATCATCAAAAACAAGTTTTTCCAAAATGCCACAATCAGTAATTTTAAGCTAAGAATAAGTGATCAGTTCATTTAAATAAATGTATCTTTGCTCATTTTCTATCAGTTTAAATCAGGACAATTGATAAATAGCACATAAGAGTTGAAAGAACTTGAAAGGTCTTTCTGTCATAAGTGAAGTTTTTCTGTCTTTATTAAGCATTATTACAATAATTCACCCTCAGCTGTTGGGTTAGAACCTGCAGCTCTGAGCGGTTTCACCTCGTCTGCCTGATCCACCAGAACAATTTGGTTCTGTTCAACGTCTTCAAACTGCATCAGCAGCTCTTTCTGGACCGTCGGGATCTTTTTGTATTCTGCAGACGGCGGCGGGCCGACGTTCGCCGGCCGCAGCGTGACTCTGGGAATGTTCTGGGAGGCGTGGCGGGTTTGGTTCTGTCCAGGAGGCGAAGGTCCGTTTGAAGAGCCTGGTAGACGTGGTGATCGGCGCTGAACGGCAGCGCCGCCCTGCAGGTTCCCCGGCAGGTCCTCAGCTTCATGTCAACGTCCACCTGTTGTTGTAAAGCACAAGATGTTAGCAATAAATCAATGAACGTGATTATAAATGAAAACAAACTCAATAATCTGTTTTTCTTGTCTTTCTACTAAAAGCTGGATAATAAAAGGCCTCAATCTGGTGCTTTGGCCTCAACTATCCTCTCTTTTGAACAACAATTATATTTACAGAGACTTTAGTGTCTACTTTATTTGATTGTTTTTTTATTATTATTTATTTTGGATATTTGAAATGTCTTGCAGTTATAAATTTCTGTCAAAAAGAAAAACTTCTCAGTTTTAACTGTAAAACCTTCAGAACAAAATGTCTAATTTTCCTTTCACTTGAAAAACTTGCGCAGCTGCATTTCTGTTTGTTTTGTTGCATCCTCGCCTCTGTTCGATGCATTTCCTCCACCTGTTTCCTCACATGGCTCCTCAACTCCTTCACCTTCTGTGCCAGAAATCGAGATCGCTGTCGTAGCTCTCCGAGGTTCTTGGCCAGTTTGTCGGCACTTTCCACAAACTTCAGTTCTGAAACTAAACACAAAATCCAGCTTTATGTTATTTATTCCAAAAAGCCTAAACTGAAGACTTTGTGTGAATCTTAACTGTATCTGTTGACCATGACTCTGCGGTTGGAGTTGTAGATGTGCGTCATCTCCGTCATGGACTTCTCCAGTGCGATTTCATAAAGACTCGACTTTTGACAGAACATGTGCAGCTTTTTCTCCACATCACTTTCCATTTGTGACATCAAACCCTGCAGCCTGCAGCCAGACGGGCATTTGGAGACCTGAGGAGGAGGAGATGAGAGCTGGATGTGAGAAAGTTGGGGCCAATGGCTCCTAACAGAAAGAAAACACTGATCCAGTTAAAGGTGGAGCACCACAAGGCTCTATCACGGTCCTGCATTCTTTAGTCATAAAAAGGATTATCAATAAATTAAAGGATATTTACTAGAAACAAATCTTTAGAAACAAACCTACCACTTTCAGTTGCCAGTAACTACACATCTATTTCATTTCACAGTTATTGATCTGTTTAAAACTGATCAATAACTGCTTAAAGGAGCACTTCCTCAGACTCAGACTTCTCACCCAATCATCATCTGAACACAGAGAGAGATGCGATCCAGTTGAGCACTGTTGCATCCTGTACATGCTGGTGCCACTTGCAGAGTGGCGGCCATCTTGTTTTTGCTGTTTGAACCTCTGGCACACTAAAGAGGAAGAGAAAAACAAGGCAGAGGTCGGTTTGTGTTTGACAAGCCAGGAGGTCAAACAGAACGAAGGAGATAGCCGTGTTTGTTTTTGTCTCTTGTTCAGACCAGAAGGACCTTTGGACCAGTCAAAGATCCTGTTGAACCTTTTCAGTATTTGATTTGCATTTATATAACATGTTTTCCATCCTTATCTTATTAGAACATTAAAACACAACATGCAACTTCATAAACTTGTTTGAGACAAAATGTGACATAGAAACAAATTTTACTTTCCTCAGTCGCCTCCAGCTTTCACAGCAATAAAGAACATAAAGACATTCATTGTATACTTCAACACTAAAGCGAACACCTGCAGTTTCATGTACTTCCTGCCACAAAATACTAATAATTAGTATATCTTGACTCATGTTTACATTTAGTTTATAACAGAGATGCAGCTTCAGTTGAACCATTTTATTTACATTTTTTAAGAAAGTGCATATTTTTCTCTCCCATTTTTGACAGATTTGACTTTTTAGAGAATATTGCTTACATTTTTATTTTAAATTGATATCCATAAATAGACTATATGGTATATTTTAAAATATTATGTTCTCATTCTTTCTTGTGATTTTGTAAGAATATAATTCAGTGTACATCCAGTATGGCTTAACTTCAGGAATACTTTAAGAAGCACATTAGCTTCGGCTGATTTTATTTGCATTATTAACACATTAGAGTTTCTGTAACTGTACAGTTTCAAAATGTTGCCTTTAAAGTTTTAAGTTGGAAAAAACAAGACAACGAACAGCAGGTGAAGTGAACACAGAGTCTTTATTTATTGATCAGATTTAGTTCTCTGATCCTCACAGGGTTCAGCAGCATGGAGAACATTGGACAGTTCAAGCTAACAGATCGATACAGTTCAGTTCATTGGCTAACATTGTGCTAACAGGTAAACCGTCAGGCTCATCCTCATTTCTGTTTGCATGCAGTAAATGGACAAACTTCTAGATGCTTATGAGGTTTAGTGATTGGATCCATGTGTCAAACTCGAGGCCCGGGGGCCAAGTCTGGCCCACGTTAGTGTTTTATGTGGTCCTCTAAAGTTACATCAATCAGTTCCTCCAGAAATTTAGGCAAAATCAATAAATCCCTGCATGCTTTGTTCTAATGCAATTGTGTTTGTTGCAAATTTTCTGCAAAAATGGGTTTTAGTGATGTTAACTCCCACCTGCAGGTGGCAGTATTTCTTACTTCTACTACTCTGCTGCCTCAGCCTGGATGTAAAGCTTTAGTTCATGATTGGGAGTAACGTCAGAAGTGCAAAAACTTTTGCAAATGTATCCAAATTAGAATATTGTAAGAGGTTTTAATTCTGGTCTCTTTGAGAACGTTCTTGGTCCTGTTTTGGCCCAACATGAGTTTTCCGGCCCTGGTTTGGATCAGAAGGTGGCCGGTCGGATGAACATCCGCGCCGCCTTCAGGCTGTAAGTGGCCGGTTTAAACGTGGGCCACACCACGCCGTTCGCCGTTTTGTAAGGTGTGTTTGTTTCTGGGTCATATGTTCCTTTGTAATAAATCCCGTTTAAGTTCACCGCCTGGCAGCTGTTGTACCACCAGCCGCCGCCGTACGCCTCCGCACAGTTCGCCTCCGACACGTCATTGTCTTTGTCGAAGGTGCTGAACTTGACCCCGCTGTGGGAGGTCAGAGCGTCCCCGGCGTCTCCGGTGTATCCGGACGCCTGCAGGGGGAAGCCCTCGTCCTCGGTGCCCACCCTGACCGTGTACTCAGCCGTGGCTACGCCCCCCTCCCAGTCCACCAGCTCCACCTTCAGCATGGTCTCCCCCTGGTTGGTCAGCAGGTGGAGGTTCTGGTTGCCCAGCCAGAACTCCCCCTTCCCCAGAGCGTCCACCGAGCCGAAGCCGTCGCGGTACTCGGCCCAGGAGCGGTTGAAGCTGACGGAGCCGCTCTCTCTCTGCTGGACTAACAACCACCCGCCCATTATGCCCTCCTGGTGGCAGTAGACTTCCATGGCCGCCATGGAGCCGGCGGGTTTGATCCTAAAAAGACCATTTGCTTCACCTTTCAGGTGCTTCTGGTGGACGTCGACGCAATCTGGGGACAGAGGGGCAAACACCGAAGACCGCGAATTAGCGAGGACGGCTTTGGATGAGCCGGCTCAAACTTACTGCAGAAAAAACGCTTCCTTCCTAAATCTCCCAGGTCTACTCTGTCTGCACCAGGGCTGGGCGACAAATCGAATCAATCAATCAATCAATCAATCAATCAATCAATCAATCAATCAGTGGCGCTCTTTCCACCTGGTTGTCTGGTATTCTCATGTCAATTTGGGACCAAAATTGCAACATTTGTTGCATTTTCAGCTGCTGTGTTTCTCTTTCTCACTTCACTGTCAAACTGAACAAGCTAATTTGAAAAACCTGTTCCCCTCCTCGCCTGTGGGGGCGCTGCACCAAGAACCACTACAGGAAACAAGAGGACAATCTGAACACTGAGTGCAACTTCCTCTCCACAAAATGTCAACAAGCAGCTTCAGATTTGAGCAGCTGTCGAATTTCTCTTTAGACTTGGTAAAAGACCACGAGCCATTCCTTCCGTTAGTGTGAGAGTCTCACGTTTGTTTTGGATGTATTTACCCAGAATGCCCTGCGCTGTAGTCCACTTCCTGATTTTGGAGCGGTCGCCTGAACCAGAGTTCATTTCAACCAAACCGAGGCCACGCCTCCCCAAACGAACCAGAGTTCAAGACATTCTTCTGGTGACATTATGACTATATTCTCGATTTTTTACATCTTTTCTGTCATTTGTAATTTCTTTAGAAAAAACATCAAAAAGTCAACTAAAACTCTAAATTGGATCTGGAGATTTTTTAGGCCACCCAGCCCTCGTTTGGACAACTGGAAACGTTTAAAGTTGTATTTGTTACATAATGGGTCGATGTTCGATAATAAAAAGGTTTTAAAGTCTTTGGAGAATCAATGTGTTAGTTCAACTTTTCAATGCAAACTTTTACGTCACATTAAATGTTTAAATGTGGAAACCAATAAAATAGCAGCTTTGTATTCACTTCCTGATTTTGGTACGTAAGGCTAGCTAACAAGCTAGCTGTCTGTCTGGCCTCCTCCTTCCCGTCTCCTACTGGTCCTACTCCAGTTCGGTTGTTTTGGTACCTGTTCCTACAAAGTCCGCCTGCCGTTCCACAACCGCGCTCTTCACACTGCGAGCATGGAAATCAGGAAGGTCGTCCTCTGTGTTGTCGGTCATGAACGCGCCGAAGTCGGTTCCAAACGGGTTCAACCCGGATTTAGAATCTGCCAGAATGCTTCCCTTGGATCCGCTGGAGTGGAAGGATGAGAAGGATGAAGAGGACGTTGAGCCGCCGGACGTTGAGCCGCCGAGCGTTGGGAACAAGGAGCCCAGGCCACCCTTTGACAAGCCGACCGTCCCGTCACATCCGGGTCCGCCGCCCACTTCCTCCACCCGCTCCACCGGCCCGTCTTTGGTGTGGACGACCGTCCTCCTGATGGTTCTGGTGCAGCTGACAGTTTTGGTGCTCACGCCCATGCTGGGCGGGGCCGCCAGTCCTGTGCCGTCGAAGCCGCTGATAAAATCGCCGTCGCCTCGTCCTGAGAGCTCGGTGATGGATTTAGACGGGGATCCGGAAGAGGAGGATGAGGATGATGGTGAGGAGGGAGACGTTGAGTGGGAAGTACCTGGGACCTTGGAGACGGTGGCTGGAGATGAGCTGGAGCCTTCCTCCTCCAGGATGAACTGAACAGTATTCACCTGGAAACAGAAAAACTACGACTTAAGAATGGGAGCCAATGATTTCATCCTTCTGTGGGCAGAAAGTCATTCAGGAAGGTCATAGTTCATCAGGCTGAGGTTAAGGCATGGAAACAATCTGACAGAAAATCATCCAGATCACATTAGGAAAGCTGGACAAGAGTTTGACCAGATATTTTCAATTTTAGCCCAATAAAATCACCCAATATGCTAAATTACTCAAACGTGAAAAATGTAGAACTGAATGTAGAATGTAATAATCAATTATTGTTATAATTTTGATTCTGTGTGGATTTTATTTAATTTTTGGGATGTAGTAAAGTTTCTAAGTCTTTAAGAGAACATTGCTATTTCATTATCATCATGATAAAGTTAATGACATCATTTCATTATTTTCTGGGATTTATTTCTCATGTCCTTCAGTTTCTCTCTGCTTAAATACGTCACGCCTCTTTAAAGGTTTGTTTCTAGAGAACCCAAAGCGCTCCTCACCTGAGGGAACAAGTCCTCCGTCCGCTGAGCCGCCACATCCTTGGATTTGAACCTGGAGTCGACGATGACGTCCTGCAGCGGGCGGCTCTTCATCACGTACAGCGTCCTCACCGTGTCCACGCTCTGGGCCGCCTGGGCGTCCAGCTGGTTCACCTGGGAGACGCCGCATCAAACATGATTCTTTACACTGAGGAAATTACTTCTCTTCATTATGATCTTTGCTGCGTCAGCCATTTATTTGCAGTTTTTTCTTTTTCAAGTAACCTGGATGCAAAAACAACTGAGTTTGCATCCATTACATAAATCACAATAGATGCAGTTTCTGACTTATGGAGCTACATTGGTGTTAGAAGTGTGACGTGTTCACCTGTTTGTCCAGAGTCACGTAGCTGTCCCGGTCCACCTGGTACACGGTGTGTCCGCCGCAGGATCCCTTGCAGGAGCGCAGCTTAATGTCAATATCCACCTAATAGAAAAACAAAAATCAGTACAAAGATAAATCTTTACGTTTTGCTGCTGCCTGATTTAAATGCTTCTCTTTCCCAGGCAGTGACATTTACTTTCCTTATGATAAACCAAATAAAAGCAGAATTATAGATATTAGAAAACAGATCACATTTCACAGCTTATACGACTTTACTCTTTTTCTTCAGTCTCTATCCAGTTTTTGTTT